GAGGCTTCTATGAGCAAGGGCCATCATGGAACGATGGGACAGTGTAGGTGGTGCTGGGCTTGTCGCTAGCGGGTAAATAGTAGCCGCTGCAGTCAGGTATCAGCAGGACATGGTGGAGGACATCAGTTAGATGAGACCCACTCAGCACCCAACGGAGTGTTGGGTACCACGCCAGGTGCTGGGGTGGACAGTACCATTGGATAACATTATCAGGCAGACAGTAGGAAGTGCTCTGGCAGGGGTGGAGGTAGAGCAATCCTGATTGCTTAAAGGAGGCAAGCATCGGTGCCCTGGCTGGCCGATGGAGCTGCGGGTAAACGGGTAGAATCTGGGCAGGCTGAGGTTGGGGGAGGAGCTTCAGGTGGAACCATTCATTATCTGCCATCAACAGCTGGAGGGCAGGAACTGAGAGGCTGTTGTTCATCCATTGTCGGGGAGGCCACAAGGTGATGGAGCAGTAGCATAGGGTTATGGGAAAGAGGGGTCAGTGTAGTGCTGGGTTTCACTCAAACGCTGAACGTTTGATGGTAACATGAAGTGTGGTCACTGAGATTCAGCTTCGGGCCCCACCACGTGCTTGCCCTGGCCTCAGTTTCCTCATCTGTGAAATAAGTTGTTACCTTGTGTGGGAGGAAACTCTGGCCTCATGTGAGGGTTGGGTGAGCCACCTGGAGTGAACGTCTTTGGCTTGGATTCTGGGCCTCGGTAGTGCTTTCTTCCCGAGTGTCCTGAGAAAATGAAGGGAGGGGTCTCCAGAGAGGGACTTTAGGCACCCGGAAGAGAGGCTAGAGCCCAGCCCAGAAGACAGAGGTCTTTCCAAAGCCTGACTCCACCCCTAGAAAGGATCCAAATGAGAGGGCCTGTGTCCCTCTTCCGTCCTGCCCTAACTTGTGTGGCAGTGGATGTGGGCCATGTGCCCAGGAGGACACAGTCTAACCTCCGACCTGGGCTGTGTCAGGCCCTTCCTCCCATTGATGGGGGAGCAAGGTTCAGGAATACAGTTCATGGAGTCTTTTGAGGGTGAAGAGCCAGGAGGCCAACTGGGGTATCAGAGCCAGGTGAATGCCTTCAGGGAGCTATGTTGTGTGAGGGGTTGTAGTGAGGCAAGTGATCTGCCACACATCCCCTCAGCTGCCCTGGATCCGGTTTGTGAGGGGCCCTTTAAACATCTCACCTGTGAGGTGGGGCTAGTAGAGAATTAATCTCCTGTGCTATTTTAATTTTGCTGTATTTAATTTGCTGTTTATTTTAATTAATTAACAGAGTTAATCTCTTATTCTAACTTGCTGCCACTAGTTCCTCTTGCCTCTCAGAGAAGTAGAAGGCCTGGCCAGGTGCCGCTCTGTGGGAGAAGAGCAGGGCTCTGGGGAGCAGGTTTCTCCCTTTACCTTTCCCATCACAGGGTTTCCTTCACAGCCCCTGCTGCTTCCCCCAGGGACTCTTCCCGCCTTTGCTCTCCCTGATTGGCTTCAGGCCTTTGGCTCTAGTGGTTGTGACCTTGAGAAGCCTGACTCGAACCCTTGTCTATTTCAGTGTTATGGGGTTGTGAGTGGGAACGTGCTTTGGGTGGTATTCCAAGACTGTTGGAGAACGTTCGAGGCAAGAGGATGTCAGTTTTTAGGGACAGCTCTCTGCCCTACTGGTGCTCGGATGACATGCTCCTGGTGTGGTCAAGGGTCTAAGTTACCAGCATGACAGAGTACCTGTGACACATCCATGGATGTGACCTCAGTTATCACTGGGAGGGGACAGGATTACCCCCTGGTCGGTATGAAGAAGGTAAAGCCTCTGAGGGGCTGTGGCTTGCCTGAGGTCACACAGCAACTAAGAGAGCAAGGCCTGGATTTAGGCAGTAACCTGTCTTGGGTGGAAAGGGTTAACAATGGGAGACCTTTCAGAGATTAGAGCCGGAGGGTTAGGCCAGATGTCTGATGAGGCCAGGAAATGGGGTCCACTGGCTTGGGAGGATGTGGGGTTGGGGAGTAGGTCCCTGTCACAGTGGCTCCCCCAAGGGTAAGGTTTCTGCCACCTCTCAATTTTCCTGAGCTCTTCACTGGCCTGTTTGGAACTGAGGCGCTCTGTGGCCGACCACAGGAGGCCTTCCATGGCAGGGCGGAGCCTTCCTACTTTCATGAAGCACCTTTTTCCCCTGGTGCTGAGAAGTGAACCCAGAGCCTCATCTACACCGAGCACATGCTCCTCCTCTGAGCTGCTCCCACCTCCTCAGCTTCACTTAGAAACACTTAGAATTTTACAAGCAATAGCCGCCGCCTCTGTTGTCCTTGTTTACACTGCCACCCATGGCCTCTGTTTTACTTCTCTCTTTTGGGGTTTTCAAGCTAGGATGTCTCTGTATGGCCTGGAACTCACTCTAGACCAGACTGGCCTTGAACTCAGAGATCCACCTGCCTCTGCCTCCCAAGTGCTGAGATAAGAGGTGTGTGCCACCATCACCCAGCTTTTTTTAAAAAATTAATTAATTTTTATTTTATGTGCATTGGTGTTTTGCCTGCATGTATGTCTTTGTAAGGCTGTTGGATCCCCTGGAACTGGAGTTACAGTTGTGAGCTGTCATGTGGGTGCTGAGAATTGAACCTGGGTCCTCTGGAAGAGCTGCCCGTGCTCTTAACCACTGAACCATCTCTCCAGCCCCCGGTTTTACTTCTTTCAGTTAACTGTGGTCACTTAAGAGTCCAAAACTATTAACTGGAAGATTCCAGAAATAAACAATTCATAAGTTTTTTTTTTAATAGTTTAACTTTATGTGCATTGGTGTGAAGATGTCAGATCTCCTGGAACTGGAGTTACAGATAGTTGTGAGCTGCCGTGTGGGTACTGGGAATTGAACCTGGGTCCTCTGGAAGAGCAGCCAGTGCTCCTAATCCCTGAGCCATCTCTGCAGCCCCTGCTTCATAAGTTTTAAGTACTTTTGTTACACTTACTATATTGTAAGCATTCAACTATATTGTTGCTAATCTCTTAGGGTGAGTGATTGACAAACTAACTAAACTTGAAAACATAGTATCTGTAGGGTTTACCGTTTTCCAGTCTCAAGCATTCACCCGGGCAAGTCTTGATAACTTACCTCCCAGATGAGGGGGGCTCCTATATCACAGAAGCAGGGCTTAGAGAGCTACAGAGCTTGTCCAAGGTCCTACAAAGCTGGTACTTTTGAACTTGGGATGCTGGGACAAGGTCTCTTATTTTGAACCACCAGGTTCTCTCCACCTCTCCACCTCACCATGGTGCTTTAAGGTAGAGATGGGAGCCCTGGACTCACAGGAGAAAATGTATCTTTGGGAAGCCTCCTGTCTAGGTTAAGAGGCAGACTCTTCACCAACTCAAATATTTGAATGGGCAGAGAGAGTCTACAAATCAAGGCGGGTGGATGTGTGTGGAGATGGACGGACGGACAGACACAGATAGCACCAGGTGTCCCTGACTAGGGATCCTTTGTGGACATGGCCCCATTGCTACAGTGGTGACTACTGGAAGGGGCCATGGGAGATTGGTTGGCCTCAGAAAGCTCCTGGTCCCGCTGGAGGAATGACGTTGGTGTGGGTGAATGGCTCTCAAGGGTTGTGTCACACATTAAGAGAAAAAGAAAAATCTCAAACGCCATGATGTAGTTGAGAGTTTAGATTTGGATCCTGTGTCTGCAGTTACTTGACTCCTCTTTGAGCCTCAGTTTCCTCATTTGTCAAGAGAACGTAATTACAGGACTGATGTTTTAGGGTTTTATCAGGCCCGGTGAGGGCAAATACAAAGGGTCTGAGCTCCAAAGCACAGAGGTCATCGAGTGTCCAATGTTGATGTTCAGCTCCAACCCCGGAGAGTCCCACCCCAGAGCACAGTAGGTGGGAAGAGCCGGGGAGGAGGCGGGTGTGTGTGTGTGGGGGGTGTGCTGTGGTAGACCCAGTGCTGGAGTCAGACTGCTGGTCTCAAGTCACATTCATATGGCCAGAGAGATGGCTCAGGGGTTAAGAGTCTTCGAGAACACTTGTTCCTTTTCCAGAAGACCCAAGTTCAGTTCACAGCCCACGTGTTGGGCAGCTCACAGTCATCTATAACACCAGATCCAGGGGATCCAACACCACCTTCTGGCCTCTGAAGGCATCCACACATATGACACACACACATACACAGAAATAAGACCCAAATCTTCAGATCCCACTCATGGTGCATGGCCTCGACTGTCAGAAAAATGAATGTAATAGTAGCTCTCCCCACCTTAGAGTATGGTGAGGATTTAGTTAATTTATTTAACGAGTAACACAAAGAGCCTGCTGGGTACCAGACAAGTTTCCAACCACTACAAATAGTAAGGGACTGAACACTGTAGCTGTCTTCTTCTTTCCATCGTAATCTGGAAAGAAGTGTGTGCAGGGGGGCTCTTCAGAAAGGAAGAACTGAGCAGGCTGAGGCTCTTCGGATGGAGATGAGCAACACAATAAAATGTCATGATGTGGGTTGGTGTTCCCTGAGTGCTTAGTGTCAAGTGTGTGTTCAGAAGGCAGAGCATGTATTCTCCTCATTTTGCAGGTAGGAAATGAGTTCCAAGAGGTACAGTTACATCCCTCAAACACAGCCAGTCAGAAAGTGTCTCTCTCTCTCTCTCTCTCTCTCTCTCTCTCTCACACACACACACACACACACACACACACACACACACACACACACACACGGAAAAAAAATAAGGAAAAAGAGAAAGCTAGCTAGTAGGGTGGGGCTGCCCCTTCCTTCCTTCCTTCCTTCCTTCCTTCCTTCCTTCCTTCCTTCCTTCCTTCCAGACAAGTCTTTTCACATAGCCCTGGCTGTCCTGGAATTCACTATGTAGACCAGGCTGGCCTTGAACTCACAGAAACTTCCTTGCCTCTGCCTCCTGAGTGCTGGGATTAAAGGTGTGTATCTCCATGTGGACTTGGGGCTACATTTATTTATTTCTTTCTTTTTTCTTTTCTTTTCTTTTTTTTTTTTTTTTTTGGTTTTTCGAGACAGGGTTTCTCTGTGTAGCTTTTGGAGCCTTTCCTGGAACTCACTCTGTAGACCAGGCTGGCCTCGAACTCACAAAGATCCTCATCTCTGTCTCCCGAGTGCTGGGATTAAAGGCATATGCCACTGCCACCGCCGCCCAGCTTGGGGCTACATTTCTTAATCAAAAAGATTCAAACTAGTTGGGGGCTGGGGTCGGAGGTGTTGATCTAGCAGATGAAGGAGGACGCCCTGGTCAGGAGAGGGACAGGGATAGCAAAGAAGGGACAGAAGAGGACAAGGCCTGTGTGTGCATGATGTGTGCGTGCACAGACATGCTCATGCTCAAACACAGAAAAAGGAGAGTAGGGAAAGAGACGGAGTGACTTGTGTAGCTCAGGCTGGCCTCAAACTTGAACTTGCTGCAGGTAAAGGAAAGTGGAACCTGGCTAGAATGCTCCCACACATGAGTCTTGAGAGATAGGTGAGCTGAAAGAGATGGGGGCCCAGGACATTCTAGGCAGGGCCTAAGCACCGGCCCCAAGGGGAGAATGAGTAGTGTAGCTTACTTAGAGCTGAGAAATGGGAGGAAGTGGCCCAGTGGAGAAGAGTTGGGAGGCTGGTGGCCTCAGGGGCATGTGATGGGTGACAGTAATATGAGGCTTAGCTAATCACAGGAAAGGAAATAGAACACAGTCATTAACAGGGTAGACTCTGGAGTCACAGCCTAACCAAGCTGCTTCCTCCCCATTTTTTTAAGCACCTGACCCTAGGCTGAGACAATCCGTGAGCAGGATGGTGCCTGGAACATAGTCCAGACGTGACTCGTTCATTCATTCCTCAACTAACAATGCATATTTGGTGTTAGGCTGTTCTAGGACACAAAGCAGTGAACAGAATTGTTGTATTAAAAAACAAAACAAAACACTCTACCCTCAAGCAAATGTACACAGAGTAAAATAATTCACACAAAAGCAGGTAAAATGTATGGATTATTAGCTGGCTAGGCATGGTGGTATATGTCTGTAATCCTAGGGTGGCTAAGGCAAGAGAGTCATGAGTTTAAGGACAACCTGACTACATAGTGAGATCCTGTCTCCAAAATAAACAAGAGCAAATGTGTGTGTGTGTGTGTGTACTCATGAAGAGAGAGAGAGACAGAGAGGTTTGTTAGATGGTTATTAGAAGTACCAAGCAGGCAAACAGGGTAGGGCTTAGAGAGTACAAGATTGCAAGAGTGCCCTGGATGTAGGTTTTTATTTTTTTGGAAACAAAGGTCTCACTGTGTTGGCCAGCTGCTGAGGGACTCCTGGCCACCCTCCTGACTCAGCCTCCCGAGTATCCAGAAGTCAGGGTGCATAGCACCTCTCTTGGCATGGATGAGAATCTGAAATAAACTTAGAGATAGAGTCTGTGGTGACTATTTGGAATTTTTGCAAACTTTACTAGAACACATCTACACACACACACACACACACACACACACACACACACACACACACACACAGAGTCTACAAGCAATCTAGCCTTTGTGAAGCTCATGTGAGGTGCAGATATGGCTGTGCCCATCTACAGAAGAGACACTGACACTCAGAGGGGAAAGCAGACTTGGAGACTCCGTCCCAACTTTGAGGGTGGTGCTATGCCCTTGACTCCCTGCGGCAAGGGGACAGAATGAGAGTGGAGAGGACAAGTGAGACCTAAGGTAAGCCAGTATCCAGACATGGAGCCAAGCTGCATAGTCAGGGCAGTGGCCTACTTCCTGGAGCTGGCCGTGTGGTCAGTACACCTCAGCCTGGTCTGCTCAAGGAGAGCTGAGAGTGTCTGGACCCAGGGATAACCCCAAGGGCAGAGTGGGGGCAGCTGGCTAGGCCTGAAGCACTGGGTGACAGGCCAGCAGGGCAGGAACTGTCCCAACCTGAGTGAGCCTGTGGGTGGTACTCAGACAGTTGGAAAGGAAGAAATCAGCCCACTGACCAGAGGAGAGGGAAGGGTGCGGTGACCAGTGGGCCCCAGCTGGCTGTGAAGGCCACCGAATGTCAACCTGGAGACCTTGGCCTTGATGATGTCGGCAGCAGCAAGGCAAAGACACTGTCATGAGAAAGGGATCTGAGTAAGATATCTGGCACAAGCCGGGCGGTGGTGGCCCACGCCTGTCATCCCAGCACTCGGGAGACAGAGGCAGGCGGATCTCTGTGAGTTCGAGGCCAGCCTGGTCTACAGAGCGAGTTCTAGGACAGGCTCCAAAGCTACACAGAGAAAGCCTGTCTCGAAAAAAAACAAAACAAAAGATATCTGGCAGAAGTTTAGAGGAGGTTCCGTGACAGTGATGGGGTGGAAAGCCCACTGAGGAACCTCCACAGCTGATCCTGAGGAGGGATGAGGTCAGGCCAGGCAGATGGATTGGTACAAGAAATGAGACCTGAGATCTGACACGTTTGGACACTGGTCCTTCCTAGTGCTAGCCACTTCTTTTCTTCTATGTACCTCTGTTTTCTCATTTAGATTTTTAACTTTGGGGGCTCAGGATCCATTCTGAGAAAATGACAGCGCCAGGACCCTCTCTCCAGATAAATATAAGAATGGTTTGGTCAACAGTTTGTGAGGCTATCTATAAACCTGACAAAATCCAATTTTGAATTAAGCTGGAGGGTCAGTGTAAGTACCAACAGCACCTGGCACTAAGTGCTCACTCTGCCCCGGGCGCTGCGTGAAGGGTTCTGTCTCACAGTCTTGTTAAAGCTGTGCAACAGCCATAAGAAATGCATACCACTGAATGTGTTCTGTTCTGTGGGTGTGGAAACTGAGGAGGCCTAGAGAGGCTGAGTGCCCGACCGCTCAGGGTCACAGCTGGAAAGACTTTGTCAACCTGGCCACTAGGGTTAGCCCAGCATTCTCAGACCAAGGAGAGAGGAAAGGCAGATACAGGCCAGGCCTGGGAGGATTTTTAAAGAAAGCCATGAAGAAGTCAGAGCTGGAGGTAGGGAAAAGGGCCTGCTTAGCCCTGAGGTGTAAGGCATCAGGTGATCCAAGGTGAGGGTGGAGAATGAAGATTTCATTTAGAGCTCCCTGGCCTTCTAGGAGCCTACTGCTAATGGACCCGCACTGGAGACTGCCGGGAAAGGGTGGTGTGTAGGCTACTCTAACTTCATGACCTGATTATGTGCAGTGCCTGGCAGAGAAGGGCTTATCCCTGACCCTTTGACTCAGCCTCCAGTGCTGTCTCTGGAATCTACCCTCCCTCCCTGTCCCAAGGCCACCGAGAAGGGCCAATGGGCCCTTGAACTCTCCAGGGGAATGTCGGAATGGAGAGAGTCTTTCCATTCCAGAGAAGAGGCCTGGGGTCCATCGGATGAGATTACAGTAGCATCTGGAACCCAAGCTGCTTGGGACTCATGTTAGGGTCTCATCAGGCTCCATCAGAAGCACAGCAGGAAGAGACAGAGATCAGACAAGGCCACTGGCTCAGGCTGAAATCTAGATTTATGAGGAGTTGAACTTGGTTGTCTAGAATAGGTCTTTTTGTAAAGAGGCAGATAATAAAAAATTTTAAGGCTTTGTGGGCCATTCATTCTCTGTTGTGATACCTTGAAAGTGGTCTCAGCTATTGCATAAACAGGTGACCTGGCTAGGTTCCAGTCAGACTTTAATTGTGAAATAGACAACAGGCTGGACTTGGCCCATGGGCTGTAATTTGCCAGCTCCTGGTGAAAAGCCTTATTCTTTCTGAAGGGTGTGCAGATTTTAAACTAATATTAGTGATCTCTAAGCAAACAGATTTGGTGTATCGGGCAGGTTGACTTAGAATGTGATCTAGCCATCTGGAATTAGTGAGTAGAAAATGGACTAGGGCCAAGTGTGAGCACATCCAGGCACCGGGGAAGTCAAGGCAGGAGGATGTTGAATTTGAGGCCAGCCTGGGCTACACAGTGAGTTCCACACCAGCCTGGGCTACAGAATACAGTCATGTCTCAAAAAGAAGCAGCGGTAACACCTAGATAGTGGCTGAAAATAGTTCCAGATCTCTTGACTTTGCCGGGCGGTGGTGGCGCACGCCTTTAATCCCAGCACTCGGGAGGCAGAGGCAGGTGGATCTCTGTGAGTTCGGGGCCATCCTGGGCTACAGGAAGAGTTCCAGGATAGCTAAGGCTACACAGAGAAAAAACCCTGTCTCAAACCAAATACAACAATAACAAAAATCTCTGGCTTTGCCTAAATTCACAGAAAGCTGAGGTGAGGGAGCATGGGGCATTGAGATTTAGACCCATGTGTAGGGCTGTGGTCTGGATATGGGGAAGTGGGTGAACGACAGCCACAGATATTGATCTGCAGTTGGCAGAGTTTTGGTCGTAAGCCAGAGCACCATCTGATCTGGAATAGCGTGGTGTAATAAAGCACAGAGGAAGTAATGTATGTAATTAAAATTTTTCTAATACCTCTTTTTTTATTTTTTTTTTATCGAGACAGGGTCTTACTGTACAGCTCTGGCTGGTTCTGGAGATTAAAGGCGTGTGCCATGCCTAATACTCACTTTTTAAAATTTTTAAGACCAAGTTTCTGTGTGGCAAAGGAGGCTGGGAACTCACTAAGTAGCCCAAGCTTGCCTCATCTCAAACTCAAGACCCTTTCTTAGACTCCCACATGCTGGAATTACAGGCATGTGCCACCAGACTGGGGCTTCTAATACATTCACCGAAGGAAAAAACAGAAGCAAAATCCATTTAATAACGTATCTTATCTAACTCAGCAAATCAAAGATAGGATCGTCTCAACATATAATCATTATAAAACTACTGAGATATTTTCCTTTTTTTTAGGGTAAGACTTAAGTATCTGCTGTGTATTTTATACTTAGCAGCATTTCCCACTTCACACTAACATTGTTCTCAATGCCCAGAAGCCACATGTGGCACCTGGCTAATAGGGCAGCATGGATTTAGAAGCAGCCTTTCCTTTGGGACTAGGGTCCAGGAGTCATGAGCCAGAATAATCTGGAATACATAGGGTTGAAGTGCTAGGTTACACCCTTGACTAGCTTGAACTGGTATAGACTGGCCCAGCAGGAGACAGCACCTGGGTTGTGGGTTGAGGAGAAAGGATTCCCTCCCTCAGAATTCTGATGAACTGGCCTCAGGTGGAACCTCTGTTGTGGCTCCAGGCCCCTCAGGACATTTGCCATCACCTCAGAGCCAGTCCTAAGCTCTTCCCAATGTCACCTCTGACTCTGGAGTCTGGTCTGGCCTGGCAGGGGGGCAGGGCAGGGTGGCAGCTGGACCCTTGGAGCAGAAGCTCTGCCCCTCTAAGCCAGCTGCTGCCAGCCTTCCTGGACTGACTCTATGGAAACAGGGGACCCGGAGACAGAAATAAACTGCCAGGTTTCCGGGGCGGAGGGGAGGGGTTATGTGACTGCCAACCTTTGTGTTCCCTTGCTGGGGGGGATGTGGAGGGAGCAGGAAGCAGCTCTAGACTCTGTCACAGGATGCCCCCCCCCACACGTGTCATCTCCTTTCACATCTCCATACCCCTTACCTCTGAGGCTGGGTTGAGTCTAGAATTTGACAAATTAGTGGACTACAGGGGCCTAGTAGTCCGAGATGAGCATTTGAGAACAGTGTGCAGTCTTTGGGCTGTTGGATAGTTGGGTACCCATTTTTAGACACTATCCTGGGGACCCCCTAGCTGTCCTATAGTAGGTGTTGAATAGATTCAGAGGGCTGCATGGGGTGCTAAAGAGCTGGAAGATTGTATTGGGTACCTCCTCTGCCACTAGTCAAAAGCAGCTGAGTGTTTTAGGGTTTGTCTTGGGTCAGTAATTACCTCATACTCTGAAGCCAGTTTGTCTGACTTTGGGCTGGGCCATTGTCTAACCTTTGGCAGGTTACTTAGCGAGCCTCGGTTTCCTCCGGAGTAAAAACACTGTATCTTTATTGGGACCTTAATGGAGTTAATTCATTCTGATAATGCAGAGCCAGTGTGCACGCCGTTGTCCACCAACGTTGAGTAGGCGCTAGATGCAAATGTATTGTATGAAAATACATTGTTCTGGTGTGGGGAACTTTTCCTCTGAAAAGGGGGCTTCTAAATCCCGCTCACTTTATAAATGTTAAAACTAAGTCCCCCCAACCCCCTAAGAAAAAGAAAAGTGTTTTGCCCGGGGAAAGGCGCGCACAGCAAAGTGAATATGATACCCTCCAAATAAAGCCAGATAGCTCATCCCAACTTACAGGTAAGGAAATCGAGGCCGGTGATTGGCCACTGGTGCTCGGTGGCGCTATCCAGTGAGGCCTGAGTCCGCCGCTGGGGAGGGAGTGCCCCGGCCGCCGGCGCTCACCGGAGGAGGGGCGTGCAGGTAGCGGGCGCCCTGGAGCCACCGCCCGTGCAAGGCGCTATTAGTAATCCCGTCGCTCGGCCCGCAGAGCAAAGCAAGTCGGGCCGGGTGTCTCCGGGGCCCTCCCCAGCCCGGAGCCGGATCGAGGCTGCCCTCCTCTCCCCTTCCACGTGTCCCTCCTCCGCGGGCAGCCGAGGGCCTGGGCTAGCGGGCCGGGGGCCAGGAAAAAGCCGAAAACCCCGCGGCCGGGCCGCTCCCCTTCCCGCTCAAAATAGCCCCCAGCCGGGGCCGCCACGCATTCCGCCGGGCCCCCGGGGCGCGGGAAGGGGTGGCGGGCCGGGCTACGTGGCCGGCCGGGCCGAGTGGGACAGGGTGGGGGCGAGGGCGGGCCGCGCGGTCGGCCGGCCGGCCGGCATGTGGCTCTCCTTCGGGGGAGCCTTGGCAGCCTGGGCTGCGCGCTGCGCCCGGATGATGGAGAGCTTCTGGAATTTCCTGCAGCTGGAGAGCGCGGCCGGCCGGGGGAGCCGGCCCAGCGCAGCTCGGGAAGGGGCGCCGAGCCGCCCGATCCCCGGACGCGTCTCCGCCGCGCTCCGGTGGGGTGGGAGGTTTCCCCGGCCGGTCCCGGACCTCCCCCGGGCGAGGCAGGAGGCTCCCCTCCCCCGCCGCTCCTTCGGGGCTGGCGGGGGTCCAGGCCCGCCCTTCCCGGCCTGGGCGGCGGACAGGGGCCAGGTGCAGGCGACGCCCCTCCCCCAGCCGCCTGGTTTCCCTCTCGGCCCGTCACCTCTGCAAGAGTCACAAGCCCTGCGGCCTCCTGGGGAGGGGGCGGGGGCGCAGGCGCAGGCACCGGCACCGGCACCGGGGCCGGCCAGGTAGCTCGAGGGGCAGCGGCGGGAAAACTCGGGAGCGGGTTCTTCCGGCCGGCCGGCAGGCAGGCCCGCGCCTCCTGCTCGAGCCGAGGCGTCGAAGGGCTTCCTCCGGAGGAGGGAGGCGAGGCAGTCCTCTCTCGGGCCCCCCGCCTCTCGCAACTACCGAGCCAGTGGGCGGCGGACCGCTGGAAACATCCTGGATCGTTTCCCCAGCTCCCGCAGCAGCTTGATTGGAGGGGCGACTCTGAACCTTGCAGGTCAGAGGGTCCAGAAAAGGGGACCCCGGAGGGAGGGCCTCCCTTTTGCCGGAACCCTAGGAATCCAGGGGAGTTGGTAAGTGACCTCGCAGGGCTCACTCTGGGCACTGGTGGGGGGGGGGGGGGTGTTAAGGGATCGTTTTCCCACAACTTTGCCTAATTCCGGCACCGTTTGGCTGAGCTCTGTAGATGGAGACGGATGAACCGTTTGGCCACTCCCAGCCCAAGGCCCCGGTTCAGTTACAATGCCCGCCCCCACCGAGCTCACCGCGTTAAAGCAGAGCAGCCGTGGCAGGCCGGTGGCCCCCTTCTGTAGTGCACTGTTCAGTGACCCTGGGCAAGTCTCGTCACTCCTGAGTTTTCTTTTCTCTCTGAAAAACTAGAGGATAGTAGGCAGGCCTGGGCCTTGTGGAGCTTGCAGTTGGCACTTGTGAAGCAATTAGTGTGATGCCTACCCATAGTCAGCACACCTGAGTAACATGCAGTCCCGCTCAGGAGAGTAGAGGCCACCCTTAAAGCATTATTAGTCCCATCCACCGTCCACCGGACCTGTGAAATGTGGCCTCCCAAGGTAAGCAGTGCCTCATGGGAAGGATGGGAAGGGAAAGATTGGCTTTATTGAGTGTTCATTTATTCATTAAACTCACGCTTTCTGTTGTTGGTCTCAGCTCGCTCTACACTGGGGCAAGAGACCTTTAGAGTGCTGGGAGCCGAGTTCTGGCCACTATGCTTTAAATTAAAGCCCTTCCCCAAGTATGGACTGGAAACTGATGCCCTAGGAGGGGGCTGGTCTCCTCCGGATGCTCCCACTGTTCCGCTGGGGGGTGGGGCTGGCAGAACACAAAGCTTGGCTTCTCCAGGTGTAGGGCCCAGGCAGGCTTAAGGTCAGTGGGATTCTTCCTTTGGGGCTCCTGGCTCACTTTACTCGGCCACGGCCAGATGTGCAGATTCAAATTCAAATTCCCCTAGGCTCCACTTCAGCCCAGGAAGTACACCTGGGCCTGTGTTGTTCCCACCCTCTCCCCACCCCCACCTTCCCCAGGTCTGTTTTCTATTTGCTTGGCCTTCCTTGCCCACTGGGAAAGACGAGGCTACTGGAAGGGGTTCAAGATTCATTTCAATAGGCCCCGATGTTGCATGACTTTAATCCTAGCACTTGGGAGGCAGAGGCGGGTGGATCTCTGTAAGTTTGAAGCCAGCCAGGGCTACACAGTGAGACCCTGCCTCAAAACAACAGCAAAAAACTTGCCATTCGACTGTACACTTGAGGCCTACCTCTGTGAACCCCGGTTTGCCTTTCTGCAAAAACTACTTAGGAAAGGCCAGAGATGGAGCAGAATCTTAAGGTGCTTGCCTATGGCCCAAAGCCTTGCTTGCATTTAACTCCCAACACCACCAGGTATTATATATGGCTATATATACCTTGAATACCTCTTCATTCATCATCCTAGAGGCATCCTGGCAGAGATCTACTTAAATAATACAAGACAGGGATGCCTTGGAACTCAAGGGATTTTGCTTTGAAGACAGGTAGAGGGAATAGAGAAAGCTTCTTTGGGCTCAGCTCGTGCCCTGGGATCCCGGATACAAAGTTCAGGAACTTGCCCCATGACTAGACTAAGTCCAGCACAGCCCACTCTGACCACCACACAGGGGCAGCCTGTTTTGCAGAAGCAGAAAGTGTTGGAGCCTGTGTTAGGAGTAGGCAGCAGGTTGTAAAACAGGTCCCTTTGGAAGGCAGCATGCATATATCTGGCTAGTTTCCGTCATGCTCGTAGAGGGCTCACAGTAATGGACTGAATGGAAGAAAAAAAGCTGCAACCAGCAGCTAGGCTGTGTGACTTTGAGCGGGTGATTTCTCCTCAGAGTCTCTGTTCCCTTCTGCCTGACACAGAGGCTGGATTAGTGACTCCCTCAGGCACCTTCTAGCTCTGACAGGCTCCAAGCCCGTGTTGACTGATGTATCCTAGGAGATGGCACACAGAGAACCAAGTCGGCTGGGAGATCCCTGTCAAGGTATCCCCCCCCACCCCCCCCAGAAAGCCAGAGTGCCTTCCTTGCTGAAACACACCCTTCAGGGATTCTGACGGAAATCGTGGTGGGTGGAGGGGGCATGTCACCCAAATGAGCAGTGTTGCTGACTCCCAGGGTTCCTGGTATCTGAAGAGAGGCCTGTGCTCAAGAATGAGCGCTTGTGTCAGGCAGGACTGTGAGGCTGCATGCTTCGAGAGGAAAGGAATGTGTGTGTCAGGGACCAGTCAGCCTCTAGGGATGGGGTGCTGGGCATGGGGCTGCTAACTTGTGGATGTGTGCCCAAGAGTCATCACAGCGGCAGTGGATTGGGGTGTGCTCTAGACAAGGAGGCTGGCTGTGGGGAGGAGGGAAAACAGGGTAGAGGAGTTGGCTTTGAGTCAGTGCTGGACAGCCTCGTGGGTAGGAGAGTTTAGCCTGTGCCTAGGTTTGCCTACTTGGCGGAGGGAGTTGAGCTGAAGGACACTATTCTGAATCGCAGGCTATGTTCTATTGTGAGGGTTCCTGTGTGGGGTTGTTGTCAAGGTTTCCTGAGCAGTGAGTTATCTGGAAGGTGTATCAGTGGAGGTCTGTGTGGTAAGTAGGCAGCCCCTGGTCGTTTGGGATGCTGTCTGTATGGGCCTATTGATTGGTATTTTCAGGCTGCCAATCAATCCTGGTCATGTTCTCTTCTAGTCCCTACCTAGAGGGAGAGAGACCCCAAAACTGGGTGAAGAGAGGAGGGACGTCTGCCTTTTCTAGTGGTGCTTGTGCAGGTAACAGGCAGCCGCTAGGCCGCTCACTCACAGTAATTTTACCACGGTGCCTAAGTCAGGAACAGGCGTGAATTGACCTTTTAACCCCTTCCCCACCACGGGATTAGATTCTGTTTCCTGTTCAATCTCCTCCAGAACCAGTTCCATCATCCCGACTCACCTCCCACCCCAACAGTGGATAAGCAACCCCATCCATCGCTTTTTTCTCCCTCTACCCTTATCAGGCCTTGGGGGGGCCCGAGGGCCAGGCTGGTGCAGGGTCTGGCAGGAGCTGAGGGCCCAGGCGGGAGTGATAAATATTGAAGAGGAGGGATTTCGGTGTGGGCTGGAGCAGCTGCAGTGGTTCGAGTGTCACACTATCTCTCCCCAGGTTTACTGACCCATTTCCATTCACGCGGCTGCCGGTTTCCTAGCAACGGCAACAGTCCCCCCAGAACAGGCGGAGTGTGTGTCTGCCATTAGCGACTGCTGCAACTGTGTCAAGGTTACCCCGCTCCCTGCAAACCCACCCCGGCGGCGGGTTTGTTTTCTGCCAGCGCCTGGCACACACCATGCCAGCCCAGGCAGGGGGAGAGAAGAGGGCTGGGGGCCAGCCTTAGGGGCTTGGGTGGGGGTGGGGGTGAGGAGGAGCCGCTTTCCCAATCCAGTGGGAGCCAACTTGGACAGAGTCCGAAGCCCCCCCCCCCCCACAATTGCTGGTGGAATTCCTGAGCCTGAGGGGAGCAGGGGGTGGAGCTGTCCCTCAGCCCTGACCCCCGAGATTCCAGAGCCTGGGGGGAGGGGTGCAAGGCCAAGGGCCTCCGGGAACCCTGCCCGGCCTGACCCCACCTGGCTGGTTCTCCTGTGCTGGCTTCCTCTCACTTGTGAGGCAGCTCAGGGCCCCTGTTGCTCTCAGCTCTTTGTCCCAGCCTCTGTGCCTGGTCTCCCCCACCAGACTCCCCAGGGCAGGGTTGTGTTTCTCCCATCGGACGAGGGGCTCCTGAGGTTGGGGTTCATGAAGCCTCCTCTCGGCCCTCAGCACCACTGGCTGTTCTCCCACATTATGGGAGATGAGACGAAACATTTAGGGTGTCGAGGGATTTCTTAATAAAGAGTAGCCAGGCAGACAGATGCCCCCATCCTATTGGACAAGGAGGTTGTGCAGGAACACGTCCTACCCTCCATGAAGCCGTGATATATATAGAGCATTGGTCAAAGGAAGTAGAGTACCCATCTTTTCTTCTTGAAAACCAGACTGCAAAGGGTTAAACTGCCCCCCATCTTGGTATGTGAGCTCCCCTAGGCTAGGGGGATGGGAGCATGGGGGTGTTCTGTCACCTTGTAACCACTCTTGGTCAGCTCAGACCTGACCAGTCACATTCCTTCCCAGGAGGGTTGGAGCTTAAGGCAGAGAGAGAGAGGGCAGGGGCAGAGGCCTGGAGGGAGTTGAGTTGATAGGAATGGAAGGGGCAGCTGGGACTGACGTCTGAATCCACTCCTATCCAGGCTTCAGTCTCCCTGTCTTTTCTCCCACTTTATACACCCGCAAACCTTCCAGGTAGGCCCACGTGTCTGTGCCATAGGTGTACAGACCTGATACCAATTCTGAACAAAGAGAAGAGCATGGCAGGGACAGTTTCTGACATGCGGAGTGGCCCAGGGACTTATGGGTAGCCTCCAATGTGACTTTTGGTGCTTGGGGGAGGTTGGCTGGGTCAGAGGCTCTGGCACCCAGGGTACAGAGCAGGTTGTTAGAGGCCTGGGCGGGAACTCAGGGAGCCTGGTTCTCTGCCCAGGCCCAGGCCTGGCTCCTCATGGCCTCAGTCATGAAGAGCTTAGGCCAGTTAAGAGCCCTTGTGTCCTGTTAGTCAGTGATTCTGGGGGAGAGATGAGTGAGGGTAGGGAGCCATGGTCTGGAGAGGTGTGGGCAGCAGCCAGCTCAGGGGGAGTTGCAACACGACACTGTAGCGAAAATAGCCCAGGTCATTTTCAGCTGCCTGGGCCGGGCATCTGATCCCAGCAGGGCAGCATGGGCAGGGGGCAGGGATGTGCCTTCCCTAAGGCTCTTTGGAAAGCCGGATAGGATGGGAGGCGGGAGAAAGGTTGGCATGCCTGGCTAGGCTCCTTCAGACCTACTAGGCCCTGGCAGGAGTCCAGGAATCAAATAAGGAATGCAGAGGGTTAACAGGAGGTGAGGCCTGGCCTCCCCCTTTGGGTCCAGGCCTGGATGAGGTGAAAGGTCAACCCCAAGGAGTCCAGGGCACAGCTCAGGGAAAGAGTAACCTGATCCTTCTCCCTAGCTAGCCTGGAGGATCACAGCACCACCTCCCCCAGAAAGGTGCTTTGACATCCCCAGGAAGGAGTTTGTTTAGACTTGTTCTCATCAGGGACAGTGGGCTAGGGGAGGGTCCAGGCCCAAGGGGTCAGGCACCCCAGCCAGTGTGTGGTGCTTTGTCATCCTGGGGTTAGGGGAGTCAGAGGTGACCCTGCTGGAGAAGTTAGAGGTAGTCAGTCTCTTCTGTTCCCATTCATGCTCTAGACCTCTGTAATTCTGAGGGACAGCATAGACACCGAGGAGTTAGAGTTGCCCGCCTGGTGCCAGACTGGCATTGAGATGTGTGGGATGGAGAGTTACACCTCCATGCAGACATGTCGCTGCTGTCTGGTCATGTATGTGGTAGGGTGCTGGGTGTA